TGCTATCATTTTGGAAGTTTCAGGTGTATGGCTTCCACTTTCTTCTATGTCCATGTCTCCTAGGCTTGTTTGAGATGGGTTGGAAGTTTAAGATTGCATTTTGTCTTTCATTTTGTCATTTTCCTGTATTCTCCTGGGGAAGCCAAATGCAAGGTGTCAGTTGCTTCCTGGGTTGAGGATGTCTGTCTGTACTGCAGGGAGTTTCCCTAGTTGAGTGGGTGTCATTAGGTAGGCCTTATCAGGTCCCGAGTGGCACTCGTAGGCAACTCAAATGTGGGAAATACACTGGGCAAACCTTTAACACACCCTACACGACACTCTGAAGCTCCTTGGCTGCTTGAGGTTGCTAGATGGGACTCTACCAGGTTCTGAGTAGTGTACCAAGGATGAAAAGCTGGATGGAGTATGTTGTGCAGGCCTTCAGCTCACGCCACATGGTGCACCAAAGTTCCCCAGATGCTTGGGGTTGCTGGGTTAGCCTCTACTCAGTTCCAAACAAGGTGCTAAGGTTGAACAGCTAGGTGGAGTTCACTGTGCAGGCCTGTATTAGCTGCTTTACATGTATATTCTTATTTTATGTACACTTGCCCACATCAGTCTTTTTAAGCAGTATTATTGTCTTTCTTTCTTTCTTTCTTTCTTTCTTTCTTTCTTTCTTTCTTTCTCTCTCTCTCTCTCTCTCTCTGTCTCTCTCTGTCTCTCTCTCTCTCTCTCTCTCTCTCTCTCTCTCTCTCTCTTTTGAGATAGGGTTGCTGTATAGTTCAGGCTGCTCTTGAACTCACTATGTAGCCCAGGTTGTCCTTGAACTTACTCTAATCCTCTTGCTTCAGCCTACTAGATGTGTACTACCATATCTGGTAGCATTGTTATTCTACACTTGAGGAAGCAGATCCTTAGAGAGATTAATTTTCCTTAGAACCTTTGACCATGATGTGCTAGAACTGAGACTTAAATTGTTTTACTTGCTCAAATGTCTTATTATTTGATATGCTAATATAAATATTAAATATATGTATTGATTCAATGTTGGAAATTATATTAATTGCACTAGATTACTTTCCTAGCATTGTAAGCTGTGGTGTGCATGTATACTTATGTGTTTGTATGCAGTATGCTGGTGACAAAGAAAGGTATAAAAGTGGACAGAGCTACTAACCTGAGCTTGGAAAGTCAAGCTCTATCAGTGAGAATTAAGAATGCCTCTCCTTACTATTCTTAGAACAAATTTTAAATCTGGTGTCCCAGAACTAGAAAAATCAAGTCTGAAGGGGAGAATGTGAGAGAATTGAAGACATTTGATTCAAAGGAGGTGCTCTGACTTTTGTGCTTGATTGCAGCAACATGTTTAGTTAGGTTGTGGTCATGTAGCAAGAGACATAATGTGTCTCACTGTGTGGAGGCCAGAAAGTAGAGCTGAAGTACAAGCCAAAGTTCTGTGAACATTGCTAAACTGGAGGTAAAGGATAGCTGGTCATGATGGTGGCTCTTTGCAGTTTTATTTTTAAATGTACTAATTGTACTATTTGTACTTTGTATACTTATACATTATTTATTTTCAGTTACTTTTCTTTAAGAAAAAAATGCCAATTTATATCAGAGAGAGAGAGAGAGAGAGAGAGAGAGAGAGAGAGAGAGAGAGAGTCAGACTCAATAAAACTTCCCAGGAATTGCAATAGTATTAGGGGATAAAAATGGTGGTAACCTACAGGAGGAATCTGAGGATCATTAAGTGGCTTTTCTCCAGGTTATTCATACTCAGGGATTAAAAACTGATGGAACTGTATCATGTGGAATATCTGTAGTCACTGTGGCAGGCAGAAGAAAGCATGCAAATCATTCATTGTTCTTGACATTTGGAGGAGACACCTGTCAGTTTTATTCATATTCTTGGCCAAAGTAAAGCACATAGGCTTGTCTCACAAGAAGATGGAAAAGCAAGTGTGATCCTACTAGACACTCAAAAGGAGAATTAGAATGCTGGAGAATGTTTCGAGAATAACTACCATAGATGTTAGTCCCTTTACTGCTGTGGAACTCAAGTCCTTTGCATTTGGCAAGCACCATGAGATAGAAGTGAGGTTCACATACAGAAATTGTGCCTAACTCACAGGTCATAGCCCATGGTGGAGTCTGTTTGTGAATGTCACCTTCACGTGTGCCCTGGGAGCTAAGGTCGTAAACTCCTGCCTTGCATAGGAAGCGCAGTATTAGTTCTACCTTCCACCTCCTGAGGTTTAGAAGACCCCTGACTTGTTTGGTCTGTACTGCAGGTCTTGTTTGGTGAGAAAGGAAGTGAGAGCAAGACTACTTCCCAACACAAGAGATTCTAGGAGCACCTTCAGAACTGACGTAGGCTCCCAGCAGAACTCTCTAACCTTTAAAAAAGGATTTTCAAGTCTCTTCCCAAGATAACCACCTGATATCTAGGGTTTCAACATCTAACCTTGTGGAAAACTATCTCCACTGTCTCTTAATAGTTAGTATTTATTGAGTTGTTATTAGATGCCAGTCACTATTTTAAGCAGTTGCTGTATATATTTACTTAATCTAGTAACAACTCAGGGAAATGAGTGTTGTTTTTAATCTCTATTTCAGAATTGAGGCACAGTGAGGTTAAGGATCCTGTTAGCAAGTATGAAGATGCCACTAGCATTGTTCTGGAGAGATGAACCAGCTTCAAAGTCTGGCTATAAGCACAGTATTATATTTAGAAAAAATGTGCTAGATATAAATGTGGATATGAACAATGAAACAATGATGCCAATAGAAACTCACTGAGATTCTCAAATATTAAAATTCTCACAATCTTACATTCTCTGTTTAAATCAATAGAATAAAATAGACACAGATGTACCAATGGCCCAGTAGACAACTTCATTTTCTACAGAACCATGGCGGAGCAAATTGTCATGACTGAGAGTTAATACAGTCTTTGTCATGACCAACAGACAACAGATTTCTGAAGGTCTAAGCTCAATACCACATGCACAGAGAGAAAAGCTTTATGGGCTTCTGCAGGAAATCACTGTTGTTTAAAAGTTCCTTAAAGTGAAACAGGACTGCTTAGGAATCAGTGCTGCAATCATGTGAAATGGCTCTCTCTCTCTCTCTCTCTCTCTCTCTCTCTCTCTCTCTCTCTCTCTTGCTGTCTGTTTCTCTGTGTCTCAGCTATGTGATGTATACTAATGTTTTATTCTATAACATACTATACAATAGCAGTCCCAGAAGATTACAATTTTAAGATAGCCTAGATACATAGTGGGCTGTACTGCCTAAAAATTTTCAGGAATGCTTTCCATTGTTAAGTGACACACAACTGTATATAAATATGTAGAGAATTTATTCAATAATATGCTGGTAATTATTCAACAACTGGTTCCTGGTTTTCTGTGATAAATTCACAGAAAATTGTAGGTATTGCCAATTTTTATGGGGTAAATATTCCCAGCATGCTAATTTCAAGTTACTCATGTGATATTATTGAATGTAGAGTAGGAAAGAGATGCTAACATGTAACTCTTGTTAGACAGTGTGAATGGGCTATTGCATACCAGCTTCATTAGGTGGCATAAACAGATTCCCTCACAGTTTGGACTTCAAAAATAAAACAATTCCATTTATAGTACTTTCAAAAAAATACTTAGGATTAAACCTAACCAAGGCAGTGAAAGACCTCTACAATGAAATTACAGAAGCCTAAAGAAAGAAATTGAAGAAGAAAATAGCAAAAAAGCCTCTCATGTTTATGGATTGGCAGACTTTCGTATTATTGAAACTATTATTGAACTATTATTGAAAGAACTAAAACCATCCAAAAATTTCTATGAAAGCACAAAATACTCAGAATAGTTAAAGATATTTTGGAATGCTTGAAGGCATCACAATATCCAATTTGAAAATTGCTGCAATACTTTCAAAATATGCTACAAAGCCAGAGTAACAAAAACAGCATAATTCTGGCACAAAATTGTTATGTAGACAGCTGGAAAAGAGTACAGGGTACAACCCTCCTCCACAAACAGACAAACAAACAAAGAACTCCATGCAGTTGCAACCATCTGATTCTTGATAAACAGGCCAAAAACATGGTATAGAAAAGAGATCCTCCTTGGTAAATGTTTCTGGCAAAATAGAATATTCACATGTACAAAACTGAAACTAGATTCCCATCTCTCACACTATAAAAATCAATTAAAAATCAACAAATACCTAGATTTAAGACTCAAAACTTGAAACTGCTAGAAAAAACAACGCAGGGGAAATCACTTACAGCTATAAGAATAAGCAAAAACTTCCCAAATAGAACTCCAATAGCACAGAAAATGATAGCAAGAATCAAGAAATGGCACTATATCAAATTAAAAAGCACCTGCTCAACAAGGTAATAACTAACTGAGAGAACAGAAAGCCTAAAATAGGAGAAAATTTTGCCAGCTACTCTTGCAGTCCGGGATTAATATCTAGACTATATAAAGAACTCAAAAAGAAACTTAGTAACAGAAAATAGTCCAATCAGTAATTGGGCAAATGAATTGAACAGACACTTCTCAAAAAAGAAATACAAATAACCAAGAAGGAAATGAAAATATGTTCAACATTTATAGCTGTTAGAGAAATGTAAATCAAAACTAGGTTGAGATTCCATCTCACCTCAATCAGAATGACTATCATCAAGAATACAAAAAATAACAAATCCTTGCAAGGATGCAGGGAAAAACGAACTCCTTTACTCTGCTGACTGAAGTCTAAATTCGCACTGTGCAAATCACTATGGATATTCCTTTAAAAACTATACCACTCCTGGTATATATCTAAAGAAATTAAAGTCAATATACTATAAAGGATGCTTGAACACCCATGTTTATTGTGGAATATTAATTCACAGTGGGTACTGCACCTGGTTATGTGCCCATCAATGGACAAATGGATAAAAAAATGTAGTATATGCACAGTGGAGTATTATTCAGCCATAAAGAAGAACAAAATTTTGTCATTTGCAGGAAGATGGATGGAACTGGAGATTTTCACATTAAATGAAATAAGCCAGACTCAGAAAGGTAAGTACCACATATTTCCCTAATATGTGGGATGTAAACAAAGATAATGTAAGAGTAGAAGGGAAGCTATTGTTACCTAAGAGGAAAGCAGTAGGGAAGTGTTCGGGTGGGTAATTTGGGGTGAATATAATCAAAATACATCAGATACATGCATGAAAATACCACAGTGAAACCCAATACTTTATAAAATGAATATGTGCTAATAAAATGCCTCAAATAGAGTCAGATTAGAATTGGTTTAAATGAAATGAACACAACATCATATAGAATGAGTACATAAGAGATGCATCAGTTATTTTTGCTTCTAAAATCAGCAAAACAATTTTATTCCCAGACACATCCTAGTAATTCCTTTGTGTTACACTTCAGAGTTGTTCTCTGGGAAATTTACTGAAACTGTCGGGGAGCTGCCGTCTTTAAGAATTTCATCTCAGAAAGCGAGAGAAATTCTGGGCTGTGAGAACCCGGAACGCAGGAGTGCTGAGCACTGCCCACGGACATGCTGGTGAGTAGCTGAGCTGTGAGCCGGGCACATCATTGATCTCGAAGTAACATCACTCCTCTTCTAAAGCCTGCTGGTGCTGACAGTTTATGGTTTTAAGGTCAGTTAAAGGGGGTGGTGAGAAGAACATAAAGTAAATCAGTGGAAAAGAGGAGAGAAAATGGAAAAAACGAGAACAAACTCAGTGGGTGTGCAGGAAACGAAAGACATTTGAGAAAAAAGCAAAGGGAAAAAGCTAACATTTATCAAGAGCCTCCTGGGGGACAGTGATTGTAAGATTACGAGTGATTATGGGATTATGACTATGTGATGATGAGATGCACTCTGTTTATGCTCTCTAATTCAATTTTCTCTAACCAACCTTATGAGACAGTGATTATTTTCTCTATTTTACAGAAGATGAAAATGAGCCCAGAGTATAATTTTTCAACCACAATCACACTTCAAGTGAGTGTCTAACTTGGGGTTCCAAACATGAACTGCGTGTTCTCTGCACCAACAGCACCATGCTGCCTCATGGGCAGCAGGATTCTGGGGAATATTAGACTCAGATCACTCCCAGGAGGGCAACTGAGCCTTGACGCCTGTGAGTTATTGTTTGACAAGCTCGTTGGTCTTTGCTGTTCTTTATCTGTTCCAGTCCTTAAATCTTAAGAACTAGCATTCTGAATAGAATGATTTAAGCTGTCCATTTACACAGAAATTATCCTTTGGGATGATCCATCCATCTCCAGAAAAATAGCATCCTAGGGGCTGAATAGCTTCAGCTCTGGGTTGAAGGTTGGCTTGTGACTGTTTCCTAGGCAAAATTGGAAGGCATAGTTGGATATTGACTCTGGATTTAACACCAACTTCTGAAAATATGGAGGAATAAAGAATAGGAGAAAGAAGAGGAGAGGGAGAGAATGGTGATGAAGTACGGGGCCGGTTTTGTTGCCCAGTAAAGATTACACCATCAGAACAGTGATTCTCAGTCTCTGAGTCTGGTTTAAAATCAAAAGTTGAATCAGGCATCTGATTTAATGAATAAGAAAATATTGATTAAAAGTGGCAGACTTCTTCAGTTCCCCAGCTCTGGAATCTTGCTGCTTTGATAGCACAAATCGATATCCTCTTGTGAAGGATTAAGCTTTGATTTGTGAAATAAGAACTACACCAGGGTCCAATAAGGATGCCAGCCACAGCAGAGAAACTGCATGGGCACTGGCTCGTGGGAAGCACATTTACCATTTGGGCAGCTTTTATTCGGGGCATGGAGCCTTGGGTGAGGGCTCTTGGGTAGCTTCACAAATGATTTCCTGCTATGGCCTGACTGGGAAGAGATCGGATTCCAGTCACGTGCTGTCTTTATTACACTATACACAGTGTATGTGTATATCCTTATACAGAGCGAGGGCCAGAACTTAAATTACACACAAGTCCTGAGTGTATTTGCTGCTAGAGCCATTTGCAGGACACACTGCCTTTTCTGTACTGTGGAGAGACCCTAGAGCTGGATGGATCTATTTTGGTAGTAGATATGCTTGCATCTCCTTTGTTCTTACTCAGTGAAATTGAAGGTTAAATATTTTTTTTGCAGGGGGGTGGATGCTGGAGAGTGTGTTCACATTTTGGAGTCAAACAGACTTGTGACTGTGGAGGAATAATTTAACCTCCCTGTACCTGTTTTCTTGACTGAAACATAGATAACAGTAGATTCTAGCTCCTAGGGACTCAGTGGGTTCCTGAAGAAAGAATGTTCACAGAGTGCTGTCATGGTTTATGTCTGTGGCCCCCAGGCCTCATGAGCTTGCATTGTGCATTTGTGATGGTTCATTGTCTAGTGCTTGGATTGATGGTGTCAGTGCTCCACCCACATAGGGGTGGAGCCAGGATGTGATGTAATGGCAGGAAGAAGGTGTGTCTTGCTCTTTGCTGGTTCCTGTTTTGCTGTTGGCAGTCACCATGAACTGGGGCCCAGCCATGTCTGTCTGCTTTGGAGCTAACTTAGTGTGGACTGAAACCTCCAAAAGCTGTAAGAAATAAACTCTTCCTTTCCCAACTTTGGGCTTCAGATATTTTGTCTCAGCAACAAGTAAAAAGTTACTAAGACAAGTGCCTATTAAGTACTTCACAAATTGAGTGCTATAATAATTCTGCTAATTTTCTTATGTTAGTATCAAGCTCATTTTTATATATGAATGTCACAACACTAGTTGGCTCTGAATAAGTGGGGAAGTAAGTCATTGCTGTTCAGATGACTCTTACGTCTCATCCACCTTCTGCTTTTGGATTGTAGACTTCAGTCATCCATTAGCTAGTTTGAGAAGAACCTCTTATCTGTCTATTTCCCATGACCAAAAGTATAAAATTAAGTGACAGTATGACAGTTAAGCTTACTTGTCAACACTGACTTGGGATCCGGTAGGGTATATATTATAAAGTATATTTTTGGGTGTGTCTGGGTGGGACAGGAAAGTGTGACTTTGGGCACCACAAATGACCTCTGAGCTCTTCCTTTCTGGCACTGCTCTTCTGCTTTAGCTCCCAGTCTACCTGAACTAAGCAGCACTGCTTTGCCATATCCCATGTGATGTTCCTGCCTTGGAGCTAGCTGGCCATGGAGTGTACTCTAAAACTGTGAGCCAAGTTAAATCACTCTTCCTTTAAATTGTTGTTGGTTGTTATGTCCCAGCATTGAGAAACTGACCAATGCAACACAGGATGTCAGTCTACACTGGTTGGGTGGTTTGGAGGTCAGATAATTGTAATATCTGGGCTTTAGCTCCCTTATCTTTAAAGGGAAGATGGGATCATAGAGTCTGATGTTCTTCAGGTCCCTCTTGAGGGAGCATTTCTGAAAGATTCTATGTTCTGTTTTCTGACACTGAGACTTTTTCTCTTAGTTTGTCCATGACTTGAAGAACTTTTCTGCATTTTGCTACTGTCTTGTTCCTCTAGTCCTCAGTCCTTTATTTTATGCTTGTTGGCCACTTCTGTGATTTTGGGCCATGAATGATTGTTTTTTTCTGTGTCAGTGTTCTCTAACTCCTACTCTTTGCTTCTCCTTCCTCAAATTCTGCGGCGGAATTTACTTACCCATTTTGGAGTTTAGATATACATCTATTGTATTAGTGAATGGCTTGGGGGGGGGTTGACAATTTATTTCATGGCTCTGCTTAATTGCAAGAGTGATAATCTGGGAAATCCATTTCACCCACCAATATACCTAGAATGGGCTTGGTGGGTCCCAGTTTGGAAAGAAAAATGGGGGTCTCTCTTGAGTAGCCAAAACAAAACTTCTGTCTGATGATACCAGCTTCAAATAAATGTTAGCAAACTAATTAATAAAGACAAAGGAACTTTAACTACAGCAAATAATGTACACCCTAGAACTATATCACTTCTGTTTGGAAACAAAACAAAATAAAACACAAGACTCAGTCAAATCTGATTTTTGCACTTGGTTAATATTCATCGCAATGACAAGTTGACACTGAATTCAAAGGCTGAGAATGTGCAGAGATCAGTCACCAAAAGATCCAAAGAAACAGGACGCTCTCCTTTTCCAGTGGGCATTGGAATCCTAATGAACAGGGGGATACCTGGCCTTGGGAAAGGTCATGAGCTGCAGCTTGACACTTTTATGGGAGCAGACATTGTCCTTTCTTTTCAAATTCCCATGGACTAGTGATGGTCACAAAAGTGAGTATTCATCAGGTGCTTACACTGGCAGTTGTGCAGTGTTGCACTTACCTTCACAATACCCTGAAGAAGTAGAAGTTATTATCCTTACTTTACAAAGAACTGAGACCTAGAGAAAGGAAGTCTTCAAAGCCACACGTCTACTAAGTGGTACAGGTAACATCCAGACACAGGTGCTAAGACCACGGCTTAGTGGATGTCAGTGCAAGGTTTTATTCAGAAGTTGTGACATGGTAAAATTTTTAAGATTTTCATGATGTTAATGTAAGGTAGTAGGGAAAACTGAGTGGGTAAGTGGAAAAATAAGCTTGCCTACATGATGATTCTCAGTAAAACTCGGAAATTGTTACATGGAGGTCATAGTGTTATTCTCTTTTTGTATAGGGTTTGATTATATATAAAAGAAAGAGTGACACAGGGATAATAGTTGTGTGTTTTAAGTTAGGATACACTTTTAAGGTTTGAAAAATAAAGAGAAATTCATGTATGACCTTTCCAGGCCTCTGTGCCCTGGGCTGCTGGCTCCAGGTAGAATCTCATTCTCAGCAGAGAACAGTACGATGCAGTGGTGGTTACTAGTCACCTTTCTTCTATTTTCTCTTAAAGATGGTGACCGCACTTGACTTTTTCAAATATCGTGGTATTTCTTCTGGTTTCCATATATGTAGATAGCATACAGCCTCTGCCCTTTCTGCTTGAAAACCTCAGCAGGTTTTTCTGTTCTTTGCAGTGTGCCAGTGGAGCTTCTGAGGAACACACAAAACACCCTCAAAGATTAGGAACAGATAGCAGGGGGGCATTGAATGAGATGGATTTAAAAAGCCAAAGCAGACAGTGGCTGTTATTTAGAGACCAGACACAAATGTGAAAGTGGGAATTGAAAAAGGGGAGAGTGGAGGCATCCGTTAAGCTTTTTAAGGGAAAAAGAGCCCAAAGTACATCGTAAAGGATAAAATGTGGGCATTTATATCTTCATTAAGGAGTTTATTAATTAGAGTTGAGTTGTTAACTAGTTTATAGTTCCCTGGGACTCGGACAAGCCTCTGAGAGGAGCCCAGGCAGAGAGCAGTCAGCCTGGGTAATTATTGTGGCTTGCCTTGGGGGTTAGCTCTAGCCTGCAGACAATTTAATATCCAGCAGGTGAACAGGTCTGGGATGTGCTACACACTAGGAAAGACAAATTCCCAGGCTCCTGGTTAGCTGCCAGAGTGAGTTTTTCTCTTCTTATGTTGGAAATGAGACAAAAACTGAGTAGTCTTAATTTGGCAACAGCCCAAGACCTGTGAGAATCCTTTCCTGATGTGTAGAACCATGGCTCTTAGATCCTAAGTGCTCATACAGATGCTGTGTCTCTAAGCCAAATCTGTGCACTGAGGCACCAGTCCCCTCTGGTCCACAGAGACCAAGTGTCTTCTTTGGTGTCCCATGATATTTGTGACAGCTGGGGTGGGGCCACCTGTCCCCATCCATTCCCCATTTCTCACTCTTGGCTGTGCCTTCCTTTTGTGATGCTATACTAACCCATCACACTTGATGATTTTGTTTATTTTCATTGATTCTTGACTCTTCCATTCTCCCCTGGAGAATGAAAAAGAATAGAACAGGGTTAGCCAAGTGGAAATGCTGACATGGAGAGTGGCTAGGTAAGACATAATGAAGGTGAGTGCATGCTTGGAAACGGAGAGTGTGTGCTCTACTAAGGACAATCAAATTACAGTTTCTCAACAATCTTTGGCCTGAGCAAGACAAAACAAAACAAAACA